TATATATAGAAAAAAAATTAATTTGTCGGGTTCGGGTTGAACTCAGAATCACGAGGCCTTTACCTGAGCCCAATCCAAATTAAATTCGAGTTGAAGTTTTTTGACCCAAGCCCAACCCAAGTATTTAAAACCTTTGTTCAAGCCCTAATTTTTTCGGGTTAGACTTGGGTTAAAATCGAGTTGCCCAACTCAAGTTGTACCCCTAATATATACGAGGTAGATACTAGTGAGTTTCGGGATTAAATGTGATACAAAATATGGTGTCCTTTCTATTCCCTTTACATTCTATACAGTAATTTACTCCAAACTATATTATATATACAGTAACAACTGTGCTGGACAAACCATCTAGGGCTTATGCTCACTAAACCAATGGGCTACCGTTATACGAAGTGCTATACAACGCATGGTTATGAGTTGCTAAACAACGCGCGACTATACATAAAAAGCTCAAAAATTGTCCACAACAGGAAAAAATGGTTATTTCTAGTTTTGAGTTACAAGAATTTATTTTTCTCGCTTGTTAAGACACATTTCTATGCCATGGTTGTCAAATATCGTTGAGTCATATCGTTGGCGATTTTATGATGAATAATGAATATAGACGGAATTTAATTTAGAGAATGTGGCGAAAAATAAATTATTCCCCCGGGGGAGGGGGGATAGTACGAGTTGTATTAATGAGAACAAAGATTGATGTACATGAGATCAAGTCTAATTTTTAAGTACGTCTAGCTTTACTCCTTATTTATTCCTCTATCTTACATAACTAATGCATCTTTATCTTTTCTGTCTTCTCCATATCTCTCTTCTATAAATTCATCTTTCTCCTCTCTCTTGTGTTTCACTCTTCTCCCTTGTGTCTTATTGTTTCTCTATTTTTCTTTCTCATTTTTTTTCCTTAAATTACTCTCTTTTCTCTATTCCTATAGTTGTTAATACTAGTTGATGCACACGTGCGTAGCATGTGAATCATATTCAAGTTTTTGCCTCTATTGTGCATAGTTATGTCAAATATCACAAATACTCTTATGTTAATAGAGAGAAAATTCAAGAACAACTAAAATCAACAAAATATTTGCTTCTTTTCTAATTGTTATCATGGCATATAACTCATGATTATAGCAATCAATACTCTATAAGTTAAATAATGATGTCCAAGCACATACATCTAATTTTAATACTGGAAGAACCAAATAGAAGAGTTGAAACTCTGCAATGAAAAATAAGCTAAAGAAAGCATAGGACATCTGTCATTGAACAGTTCAATTGAGGGCTTCCATCCCTCTCTAATATATTTTTGCTAGTATTTCCCTTCTGGTGGAGCAACTTGCCTGTTCTTGAAATACATTTTCTTACAGCACAATGATTTACTTATGGTTTGTATGAAGGTTTTGTATTGGGAACCTTGTTATTCTCATGCTGCTAGCAACAATTCAAAATCAAGATAACTGTTTTATTGTTTTATACCTTTGGAGAATTGACAATAATTATATACCCTAATGCCTTGTTTTCTACTTATGGAACTAGCATCAACATTCTATACAAGTAGAGGGCAAGACTCATATTTAATGTCCCTTAGGCCAACATGAAGAACTTTCATTACAGACAAGAGCAAACTTCCAATACAATGAAATATGCAAATTCTAGAGAACCCTTGGTATGATTTATTCTTAGCTTTAACCTTTGTGTCAATGTATTCCTTTGCTGCCACCACCATATAAAGCATAAAATGTTTTGTTTATCTAGTGCATTAGGATTCGGTTCCTGATGAAGCTAGAATAATCTTGAGAAAATATAATTGCGGCTCAGCCAAACCTGTAAGTCTAATAGTCACCATGCAACAAATTATGAGATCTAAAGTTAAGATATCTCACCTCTGCATGCCAAAAGGAGAAAAAACAAGAAAATAAAATTAATGAGTAAAACAATTCAATAATGTAGTCAACAAGTCATGAAGCCAAAGAAAAGAGCATTAAGTAAGAGGAAGAGATCTTAGCTCTCTCTCTCTCACACACACAGATTCAATAACTTAATTGTTATGACGGAGAATGATTTTACAACGTGCTAACATTTCATCTCATTAATATTCAATTCATCAAATTAACACTGAATTAACATTCAATTTTATCTAATAAACATTTATTTCAATAAATTAACAATCAAATTCAACAAGTTAGCATTAAATTAATTAATCAAACTAACGCCAAATTAACATTGAATTCATCTAATTTATATTCAAATTCATCCAATTAACACTCAATTAATCAAATTAACATTTAAAACTATTTAAAAAATATTTAATTTATCAAATCAATACCAAAGTAACATGTAATTTCACCCAAGTAAAATTTTATTCATTAAATTAACATTCAATTCATCACATTAATATTCAATTCATCAAACTAACATTTAATTTCATCTAATTAACATTCATTTTTTTTCTAATAAGCATTTAATTCATTAAATTAACATTTAAATTCAACTAGTTAATATTAAATTAATCGAATAAATTTTAAATTTCATTCAATTAACATTCAGTTCATTGAATTAACTTTCCAAATCAAATAATAAAGATTCAATTTATCAAGTTAACACCAAAGTAGCATACAATTTCATCTAATTAATATTCAATTCATCAATTTAATACTAAATTAACATTCAAATTTATATAATAAACATTTAGCTCATTAAATTAACAATTAAATTCAACTAGTTAATAATAAATTACTCAAATTAATATTGAATTCATCTAATTTGCATTCAAATACATCCAATTAACACTAAATTAGACAAATTAACATCCAAAATTATTTAAAAAATATTCAATAATTTTGGATGTCAACACCAAATTAACATGTAATTTTATCCAATTAAAATTTAATTTATCAAATTAACACCAAATTAACAATCAATTTCATCTAATTAACATTCAAAATTTTCTAATAAGTATTTAATTTATTAAATTAACATTCAAATACGACTAGTTAACATTAAATTAATCAAACAAACTTTTAAATTCATTCCATTAACTTTCCAAATCAAACAGAAAAGATTCAATTTATCAAATTTACACCAAAGTAACATACAATTTCATCTAATTAGTATTCAATTCATCAATTTAACACAAAAGTAACATATAATTTAATCTAATTAGTATTCAATTTATCAAATTAACATTCAATTTTATCTAATAAACATTTAATTCATTAAATTAACATTAAAATTTAACTAATTAACATTAAATTAATCAAATTAACGCCAAATAAATATTCAATTCATCTAATTTATATTCAAATTCATCAAATTAACACTCAATTAATCAAATTAACATCCAAAATTATTTAATAAATATTCAATTTATCAAATCAACACAAAAACAATATGCAATTTCATCCAATTAAATTTAATTTGTCAAATTTACACCAAATTAACATTCAATTTTTTCTAATAAGTATTTGATTCACTAAATTAACATTCAAATTCAACTAGTTAACATTAAATTAATCAAACAAACTTTCAATTGCATTCAATAAACACTCAATTCATTGATAAATTCAATGTTCTAAACACAAATTGAATACTTTGGGGGGTCAAATTGATAAAATTGATACTTTAGGGATAAAACTGACAAAACTTTCATACTATATGGATAAAACGTGTTATTATGGGATTATTGTAGATATTAATTTGATGAATTTGAATATAAAATAGATTAAATGAATGCTAATTTGGTATTAATTTGATGAATTAGGTATTAATTTGATGAAATTAAATATTAATTTGATAAATGTTAATGTTAACTAAGTGAATTTAAATATTAATTTGGTGTTAATTTGATGAATTGAGTATTGGTTGAATGATATTAAATGTTAATTTGATGAATTTAATATTAATTTGATGAATTGAATGTGTTAATATGATGTCAATTTGTTAAATGCTTGTTAATTAAATACTTTAGAGATAAAATTGACAAAATTGATACTTTAAATATGAAACTATAAAATATCTATAATTTTGGGATAAAAGTGTATTAACCAATTTTAGAAATCAGGATCAGTCATGAATGGTCCTGATTTTCTAAAACCGATCATGATATTGTAAAATGGGTTAATATACTTTTACCCCTAAAATATGCATATTTTGTCAATTTATACCTAAAATATCAATTTTTTCAATTTTATCTTAAAAATATTCAACTAATTTGCAATTCGGCAAATTGACATCACATTAACTTTCAAATTCCTCCGATTAAAGAAAAATCCAGCAGACACAAAACCAGCTGAAAAATATGCATGTTGGGCTGGAGATATCTTCGAATAAAATCTGCAACCTGTAGACAAATTTGAAAGACTCCCTTGGGCTTGCAGTGTGAACTACCAACAGTTCAACTGCAATGAGAGATCTTTCTCCTTAAAACTCTCACCCGTCTTTGATCTTGTTGAAGTTGTAGCGCATGTGTAGGTAATTGAAATGGCTACCACCAACTGACCCAACTGATTTCGAAGAATAGCTCCTCCACCAGTCCATTAGAGGAGGCTTGAACATCTAGCTTAGGATCCATTTAGTTAGGAAGAAAAAAATGATAAAAACTAAAGTGAAAGAAAAGAAAATGATAGAAAATATATTTTCATACATATATTTAGTTAGAATGAAAAATTTATTGAAAATTTTAAAAAAAAAATTATTTTATTGTTTGAAAGAAAATAAAGTTATAAAAAAAAATTATAATTATCTAAATTACCCTTAATTATATTCAATTCATCAATTTAACACCGAATTAACATTCAATTTTATCTACTAAACATTTATTTCATTAAATTAACAATTAAATTCAACAAGTTAACAATAAATTACTCAAATTAACATCAAAATACATACAACCCTCTAAAAATATAACAAAATACGAAGCAACATGGCATAAATAAAGTTACCATCAAAACTACATTTGCTCACATGGTAATTCATTACTGTTCTACAATGCTCAACGGACAAAAAATTCAGGCAGGTGGAGCAGCCATTGCCTCTTTCTCTTCAGGTGAGAAAGGAATTGGCTTCGTTGGAGCAGGCAAACGCCCTATGCTATCAACTTTATCTTTTTGCTTTGGTGGGGGCCTTGCTGCTCTTGGGAGTAACCTGCCCTTCTTCTCAAACCACTCAGGTTTGAGCAGTGCCCGAAAGCCTAATTTGTTGTAATACACCCTCCTCACAGACCCACCTGCAGCTTCAACTGCTGCCTTGGCTCTAACTGTTACTCTCGAAACCTGAAACCTCTTAACTGTTATGTGTTGATGAAAGAATATTATATTATACCCCAAATTTCATAAAAGCGTGATTACCTCAAGATGAATATGGAAAAAGTTTCAAATCAAAAACAGAAATAAGGAAAAACTTTCAAATCAAAAATTCAAAAAAGGAAGGTACGAGTTAATAGCCGAGAGAATATGGAAAAAGTTCAACACGAGGATCACCTCAAGATGAATGGGCCATGTTACGTGTTCAGCCCCACGTCCCATCAATCTCACTCCATCTCGTATCTGCTTTCCAATTGCCCCTGCATCCTATTGCATAAGAATAAATTACAGTATCTACGTGAGCATCTGACAAATGTGAAGTGGAAAGTCAGTTCAAAATCATAGTACCTTGAGAGTTTTCATTGTGATCAACTCTGAGGAGTCTATTTTCCCTGCATTGATGAGCTTTGCGATCTTTCCCAATCCCACTGGCTGCCACAACATAGTCATTCATCAAGGAGTGAACTCAGTGAAAAATAACAATGAACAACCTCCATCAAACACTCGAGGCCAAATAGCCTTCTAAACAACTATGGAAAGCGAGAAAATATAGTGACAGATTCCAGCCTTAGCTAGTAATTCTGATAGTGCAACTATTAATGTTCCACCCCAAAAATATACAAACAACAAAGGCAAATAACTCAAAAGATTGCTTGAACCAAGACTCCTGTTTTTTAAAAAGCAGACAAATGCATATGTCACATAATGTAAAGTAAAGTGAAGAGGCAACAAGCTTAAAAGGTCAGTGTCATGCTCATGGTGTCGGTTAAAATCTCTGCAGTTGATGTTGAAGGATTTTTAATGACATTACCATTTGGTTCTAAAATTTTGAAAGGCTTCCATAAGTAACATAGATTGCTGAAAAGAGTCCATATGAGCATTCATTAATTAAGAACCAAAAAAAGGACGATGATTCTCTACAGAGACACGGGTCATGAGCAATGAGGGAAACATTTAGCTGCACAAAGCTCAGTTAAAACCATGGATCTAACTACACAATTGGAAGGAAATTATTAGACCCAACTCTTGCTCTTCTCATGCTTCACCCAGGTTCTTCTTTAAAGACAAATCTGTTTTATGTTTGATTCATCTGCTAAGTCATAAGTGGGACTTCTGAGGCTATGAACTCCATCACTCCTATCCTAAATACTTCCTTTGCCAAGTCACTGAATTTTCAAAATTGGACTCCGTCACTCCTCTCCTAGTTCTGTAGGGAATTAGGACTCCAAAATTGGAGAATTCCCGACTCTTTGAGAGGCCCATGGACAATACATATTTTACATGTCCGGCACATATTGGTAAACCAAAAAACCCTTGATTCTTTAGACCTAACAAAACATTAACGAAATAATCCCACTAACATATTAAGTTCAAACGAACATAAATAGGATGACCCTGAACTAGACTACACATTCTCCAAACCAAGCTCCACACAAAATTCCAATTTTGCTCCTTCCCTGTTTTCATTCTTCTCACCATCTTCCCCACATTCCATATAACTCAACATCAATTTTTGAATTGGCCAAGTAACACCAAGTTTTCTTCTTGTACTCTCCAAGGCTTTACCAAACTTGATTTGAAATGAGCTTAATGTGAGAGAAAATGGGCTAGCTATGGCTCGTCATCATGGGCAGTAACTATTTTCTAGCCTCAATGAGTTCGTTAGGGGCAGAGGATAGCCATGACTATTGTTGCTTGAGGGGGCGTACTATATTAGGGAATGTAGATGAAGATAGGCAAGTCTTGGTCTGAAGAATATAGGGTCTCACTCAGATCTGTTTTTGGAGTGTGGGTGTTGGATTTGCTCATTCCTTTCGTTGGTATGATTTTCATGTTTCAATCATTACATAACAACTGACTATATTGTTCATTTTTCTTTTTTTTGGAGCTGCGTTTGTAACGTTCCAACTTAAAAAGCTCAATGAGACATCATTGGTGCCTTTTTGAGCTTGTCCCAAAAACTGAAAACATGCTTGTCCATGGAAGTCTGGACTCTGGAGATTGAGGATGCGTGCTATTTATATGCATTTTTTGTGGAGACTTCCTCAACAACAAAAGGCATGCATGTTAGCTGATTCAAGTCGGGACTTGGTATCTGTTGCATTAGGCGATAAGAAAGCTAATGATTAGAAGTGCATTGCCCATTGTCGGTAGAGTGTTTTATGCTAAAATCACAACAAAGTCTAAAATCTTCAACTGACTTTTGTTCAGCACTTCTGAAACACGCTCTCTTTACCAAAGTCAGTTCAAATGAAAGTCCTGAAGCACTAAACTACCTACACTACATACCGAATCCAAAATACATGATCCTTTTTCTCCTTCAGCATTTCTTTTGGTTTTTCAATCGATAATAAGTTCATCTTTTTCTATACATAAAAAATGAGCAGATACAAAACTATTACTTTCTAGTGTTTTTTGACTACTACATTCATCTATACTATAAAATGTCAACATAGCTGAAAAACATATTTTTTTCATCTTTATCCTCCAACAATGTTACTATGCCATTCTTATCCTCAAAATCAATTACAAATTAAACCAAAATTATCACCTTTATGCTAAACCTACTGGTTCACAATCCTACTGCCGTTACAATAGAGTCTCTCTCTCTCTCTCTCTCTCTCTCACATTACCCTAAGATTCATTATTGGGTAAAAAACAATCAAAACTCCCCTCTTTTCACCTTCCCCTCTCCCATACTCTCTTTCTTGCTCTCTTAGAGGCTAGATATTCGATTTTCTATATACAACGTATTACAATCCAATGGATGACTCACCTTCAATACACGCCTCAAACACCTCATCTCTCCCACTACCATTTACAGTTTGATAGATTGCCATTTTTCACATACTCTTGATTTCTATGAAATGGTTATGTGTGTTTGTCTATCAATTTTTAGTTGCATTGTGTTGCTTGCATTGTGTTCTTTTATTCTCTGTCTCTTTTCATTATTTTTATCCATGGTTAGATTTCACAGCATGTCACAAGACAGGTCGAAGTCGTGACTTCATCGTCGCTGTTGATGAAGAAATTTCCCTCCATTAGGTGAGTATTGCCCTTTATCTTGTCTTTTGATTTGCAATTATCTTCAGTTTATCTTCAATTTGGCTACCTTCAACAAAATAGAGATTGAAATTTCTTAAATTGAACATAAATTAATATTATTACTGATTGGTGTAAGCTTGTACTTTGTCTAATGGACACAATCCCCATGCTCTATCTCAAGATTTGTATTTAGGTAGGTCAGAAACTAACATTATCAATGTTGTTGGGCAACGAGTAGCATTCGATGGAATAGCCAATTCGAGTACTTAACGCGGCTGGATAAATCTCTAAACCACCTTAGCACTAATCTTCATGTAGACCGAGTTCAAGACACCTCGTCCAAAATTCTTTAAAAGGAATGGATTCATACACACAAAAGGTAAAAAGAGCTGACACCAGTTTGTGTGTAAAATTATGTGTAGTGTTGTATCAATGAGGTTTAAATTTGTTTAATCTTTCTTTATTTCTTTGGCCAAATTTTCCACACGACCAACAAGACATACAACATAATATTTCTTCAGATTACTATGTTTTTGGATGGGTTCTTGGATAATTAGTTTCTTCACCCTACCTACGTAGGAACTTAGCAACAACTCATTTATTTTTCTAGCCCTTGGAAATTCTCTGTGAGCCAAAATCTTTCATCACTCAATTTTATTTTTTCTCTTAGTTTCTCTGACCTCGTAGTAAGTGTTTTCTCTAATGTTCTTTCAAGATCAGCTGGATCTTTGTAGTGGCCATAGTAGTATCTTTGTTGAGCCAATGGATCCTAAAATCAACAAGTAAGGATTCAAGAACAAACTATGTGCATTCCTCTAACATGGCAATACACACTTGCACATTTTATGTGTCTTAAGAGACCATGATTAGTCATTGTCGGTGATAAAGAGCATGTATTTACTCTGTGCAAGCAACTTTTTTATTTCTATTTTTTTTCTTTCGCTTTAGTCTGGGTTATCTTCCCTTCTAATTTACTTTCTTTGTCCAAGTCTTCTCTCTACTTATGTAGGTGTACAAGTTCATTGGATTCTGTTTAATTAGTTCAATATTTTTTTATTTTTGATTTTTCAGACTTCAAGGAACACTATAAATTGCACATTTTGAATTGAATTAGTGTAGTTACCTACTTTAGGAATTCAACAATTTTTAAGCATATGCCTTGTCACTGGTGCCTGCTTTATTGATTTCATGTCACTCCAGAACGATTAGGATTATCATGAAGACATAAGGAGCAAAAGCAACTATATGTTCCCTAACACATTGTAATTTACATGGTTGGCGACAACATGAAAGTGTACCTTTAATGTTAGTGCCGATTGAAAAAATGGTGGTGTAAAGTAGATTTTGTTAATAATAATCACAAAATAGGGCTCATTTCGGCCATTATTAACATTCATTGATTGCAAAGTTGAGGAAATATAAAAAAAAATAGCTCAAAGTTTGAATATGGTTTAGGAAAATAAATTGCATTAGCTATGTCCCTTTAATCAGATAACTTCCTTTGATCTTATTCATATATCATCAAAATTAGGGTGTAATCTTTGCTTATTGATGAATATAAATATCTACTCCTTTCCTAATCTAAAAATAAAAAATTTATTCATAAAAAAATTATTTCCTCTTCATAATTACACAAATGACTCACATGTATTATATATATTACCCAAAATAAGAGAATCTATTGCTACATCAACTTCATATTCATTATATAATAAAGTGTATTAAAGACCATTAGATACCAAATAGCTACTTGAATTTAGAATCGACAATTATAATTTTAGGGAACAAAAAATAATATAATCTATATACACACGTGAACCATCAATATAAAAGTCTATTCAAAAACATATAAAAAATAAACATTAAAATTATAGTTTAAAATTGTTCACGTACAAAGTACTTGTGGAACAACTAATAATGAAAATGTAACAATACCAAATGTTTATTTTCTTACGTTTTTTTCTTATTGCATCAATCTTTTCATCTTAGTTGAAACTTTCTCTAATAATTGGGTTACAGATTGGAAAACAGAAGAACAAGACGACACCATCACTGCTTATCTTCGCTGGCAGCAGAATCAATTAGTCAGTGGAAAACTACTCAAAGAACAATGCTCGATTGCACTCTCAACTTCAAGGCATATGTGATGAAGCATTACCTTTCAGTTTCAAATCTTTAAATTATATATATGTCTGTGTGCGCACACGGTTGAGCATGTATATATCTATTATATTTTTTGTTTATGCCTTGAATCAACGATGAAACCCCACCACTCTTGTAATTCATGTCTATCTCTCTTTATAGTCCACTTTGTTTGTACCTATCAACTTCTACATTTATCTCTCTCTCTTTGGCAGTGACGTCTACCAACACTGAGAAAATTGGGTTGATGGGCAAACCCACCTTCAAGATGAGCCTTTGACCCCTTAAAAGTCAGGTACATTCTATAAAATTAAGCTTTCTTGATTGACTATACTTCCAATAAAATCTGTTTACGTTCTAAACTTCTTGAAATTGAATGTTGATCTTTATTCTCTAACATAGTCAATGTCTCTGTTCTATTTTTTCCTTTATTTTGAATTATTAATTTTCATTAACTCTTACTTTTAATTCTCCTCTATATGATACCATAGTGGGGAAACACTAATTATACGGACACTTTCTCACTCTCTCTGTCTTGACTTTTTGGTAGACATTTCTTATATCGTATTTATTTTCTTTAATCTTTTTCCCCTCTATTTAAGATCTTTGATGATTCATATATTTGTTTTAGTTTTCGATATGTTCAAACTTCAGCTTTGTATTGTTAAAACCAGTGATTTTATCAATTGCTCATCTAAATTATCCATATTTTTTTGGCTTTTTTTTTGGCACATCTGTACAAATACGGTGTATGAAAATAATTCGGTTATTATGGGGTGGGAATTTTAACATGGTTTTAGGTATTTATTGTTTAGGGTGGAAATTTATCAATCTTTCCTATGAACTGTTGCATACTCTAGGTAGTGTTTTAGTATATGTTTTTTTTGTTTTGGCTTTTGCCTCTATGATTAGGGATAAGGGATTCAAAATTAGACCCTCTTGATGTTTTTTATATTTTTGGAAAATTGATCTCTGTGAGATTCTTGTTTGAATTGATATGTTTGTCTCTATTTCATAAAATCTCAGTTTCTTAGTTTTTTGGTATCTACATGAGCTACATTACTTGTTTTCCTTCTTCTTCCCTTTCTTTTTGGGTTTCTTTCTGCAAATTTGATCTATTAGCTGGCAAATTTATAGACATGTATATGTTTTTTTTCCCTAAAAAAAAGAGAGACGTTCTTCATTTCTTTTTATTACTTCTTGGAGAATTTATAGCTAAGCATCTTTTGCATTTGTTTAACATCGTATTTTGATTTGTGCCATAAGGCCCATAAAAACATGTCCATTTTGCTTTTTTCCTTTCTATCTTGATAAAAAAAAGCTGAAATTCCCATAACTATCTTAATGGTTTGTCTTTATCACTTTCATTTTTTTTTTCATAAAGTATCCCAAAGTTTATATATCTTATTACTTTCATGGGGATAATAGGATCAATACTTTCCTTGAAGGAAAAAAAAATCAACACTTGAAAGTTTTTATTTTAGAGTGAAGGGCCAATGTGGGTTAGTGATTCACTTTGGAAAAAATGATTTGTAGGAATTTTAGTATTATTCAAAAAAAAAGGGAAGTGACCTAACATTATGTGATAACATGTGACTCCTAATAGATTATCCTGATCTTTTGGCCTACCCTTGGAATAGAAAACAAGAGAATATTGTATTCAATTACAAAAATAAAATTAAGTTTTAGGGCTGATATGGTGTGTTGGTTCTTTGTTGGTGCTTTGTCAAACATAGTTGGCTATCATTTTTCAGATGTCTAGGCTCTATGATTTTCAAATGTTTAGGGCTAATGTTTTATTCTAGATTGTGTACAGCTTTTCTTATGAAATTTGAAGTCTATGTAGGATTGTAATCCATAAAAAGACTGATGATTTATTTTAGTAGAAATATATAAACACTGATAACAAAGTTTGTGTAGTCAAGACTTTCATTTAAAAGGTAAGGGCAAAATAAAACTACCAATGAAGGTAGATTTTGTTATGAAATATCAAGTCCATTGCCATTGCCGGAAGTGATTGGCGTTGTTAGGGCCGGTTCTGGAAAGAGTCGGGAGCATTCCCTGCTTTGGTTCATGTCGGTTCCTCCAAGTCATTTAGTGAAAATTAACGTTTTTGATTTAAATTTTATAGTCATTTCTTTATTTTTTTACGTTAGTTTCCGAAGTGGTACATTAGTTTCCAAATGGCACCACTTCAAATACGTTTAACTTCATCCTTTTAATTTTACTTTCTAAATTTTGTAGTTCAGCTCATGGACATTATTAATGTAAGGCACACATGGATTTATGCTAATACTCTATCTATGAGAAAACGATTGAATACGCTTGTAAGAGAATATGTAAATGCTAAAGCATAGAAGGTCGTCTTTGCTTAAGACTAAGAGGTATGGAATTCACACGTGGTACAAAATAAAAGCAATTCATACTCAAATTATAATTCGAAATGATTCAAATATCAAGAAATTTAAAAAAAAATTATTTCCAATTTTATCTTTAATTAATATAATAAAGTCAACCATATGCTCTTATATCTTGAGATCTTACTTTAGAATATTAATAAATATCTAAACAACGATGAAAATAAATTGTTGGGAGAGTTTAAAAACTAACAAATTTAGCTGAGATAAGGACATAGTTGTTCAAAATAGGTGGCCAAAATTTACTAACTACACAGCCTCAATAAAAGAAGTCACAATACTCTATTTTAAAATGTATATAATTTAGAATTATGTTATTGTTTGGACAATCATACGATTATAAAAATAAACAAAAATTCAATCTGGTGTATTTGACAAACACTAGAAATCAACTATCAAAATATAGATCTGATTTGCAAAAGGCAACACATCTACCAAGTATTGACCAGGAAAGTGTAGAGTGAGTGTTTTTTTAATTATGGAAAATAGTTGGAGAATATTCAAAAATATTAAAAGTCGATGAAGAAAAAAAATACAAGGATTTTATAAAATAAAGACTCACGTGATATCAATTCTATAAAAATAGTACTTGCACGTGCGCATCAATTTGTAAAAGTAAATATCTTCATCTGTCAAAATGATAACTCTCATTCAGTGATCTTGCTCAGATTTATATGCGCATATCATTTCCAGACCAAAACAGCGAGAAAAAAAAAAATCAAACATCCATAAAGCTAATATTCTAGAAAATCACAAAAATGAAAATATAAATTTACGTATGCATACCCAAACAAATCAAACATATACCTGAAATGTTAGGCTAAAGGGGTTCTTAAACCCGCGTTTAGGCAACCGGCGACGGAGCGGAGTCTGACCGCCTTCAAACCCAAACTTCATAGTCCCCCTAGCTTTCTGACCCTTGTGACCCCTCCCAGCAGTCTTGCCCTTCCCTGACCCAATTCCACGACCCTTCCTAGTCTTCTGCTTTCTGGCTCCCTTATTATCTCTCAGATCATTCAAGCTCAAAAGACTATAAGCCCTAATGCTTTGAGACCCAAACAATCCATTCAACATAGAGCCAACATTAGGGCATTGTCGGCAATGTAACGATGAGAATTGTTGAGATGATGAAATGGGTAAGAGTATTGAGTCGGGTTTGGTGTAGATTGAAGCATTGCAGATTGAAGCATTGCGTATTGAAGCTGATAACAAATAAGATAGTCGTCTTCTTAACATTTCTTGTGCGTGCGTGCGTGTCTGAACGGGCTTTTGATTTCTGGCTTTGGGAATTTTCAATCAAATTGAAAACTAGGGCTTTGAAGGGTTTAACTAGTTAGTACTACGAGTGAATCTGAGTGGTAGCCTGAGCATCCTCGATGGACGCCAGAGTGCCGCCTGAGCACAAACCGCTGTTTTTTCTAGCCTCGATGAACGCCTGAGTGTTGTGTTCTTCTCGCTTGTTCTCTGCCTTTTGTGGTTTAGGATTTAGGGCAAAATCAAAATGGCCCAAATAAAAATAAGAAACGTGAATTACACCTGGACCCTACGAAATTTGTCACTAAATCACCCAGACTCTCTGAAGTTTATAAACATATATTACTTAGATATCTTAAATTTAAAATATTATACTTAAACTGAAAATAATTCAACCAAATATAAAATATAAAATATTTTAAATTTTGTAATTAAAATTCATGTTCTATTGTGTTATTTATTGAAATAAAAATTTAATTTGTTCTTAAAAAATCTTAATTAGTATACAATTATAATGTCTATTAGAATTTAATTTGGTCATTTAAATGACTAAATTAAAATACCAAACTATCTCAATTAAAGCTAAAAGATTTGTGTCCATTACAGTTTGACTCATTGTTTAATTTTTAGTTTTATTCTAATAGATAATATACTAATTATGATTTTTTTTTAAAAAAAATAGATTTTTAATTTTAATTTTATTTCAATAAATGACATAAATAGAACATGAATTTTGGATGAAAATTCATGCTCTACTATGAATGACTTAGACCCCTTGTTTGATTTTTAATTTTATTCCAATAGATAGTATAATTGTATACTAATTATATTTTTTTTTTAAAAAATTAAATTTTTAATTTTAATTTTATTTTAATAAATTATACAATAGGACATGAATTTTGGTTATAAATTTAAAATATTTGATATTTTATTTTTAATGAGAATATTTTTTGTCTAAGTATAATATTTTAAACTTAAGGACTCTAAGTATTATATATCTACAAATTTTAAGTGATCTAAGTGTAATTTATTAACGGATATATTTACAATTAGGGTGTACGTCACGTACAAACTTCAGGAGTTTTATATGTAATATTTTAAATATCAAGAATTTAAGTGATAAATCTCATAAGGCGGAAATGTAATTCTCCCAATAAATAATGTACAAATCTTAATGTGATCTACATCGGTCTGACGAAGATTTGTCCTCCATGATTGTTGTTTTTCCTGCGAAGTTGCATTAGTTTAAGCTTTTGTTGACTATATTCTCTGATGAACTCTTTTCCAAAGGAGAGGGTACAAATAATCTTTTAATTTTGGTTAGTGAGATCCAAATGCTAGTAGCTCCATAACACATTAAGAAATTTTGATCTTCCAAGATATGATTTTTTATTTTTTTGAATTTAAATTAAAAATATATATTGATGGTGGGCCTATTGAAATAAAACGAGTCTCGTTTAGATTTATAGTGGAGCGAGCGGATGTTCAAGAAAAATATTAAGAGAAAATGATAAGATACCTAAGAGTTTATTGAGATTCAAAGTTGACTGAAAACAATCTTAGGTAGAATGGAATGTTTAACCTTACTCAACAGGCACGTCATGAGAATTGCTAGGCCACCAGAAAGTTGTACAATAGCTGTCTCATAGATAATCCAAAAATAAAATAAAAACGATAAAAAAATAAAAAATTTATCAAAACTTCTTGAAACACCTTGAAATATTAGTGAAAATATCCCTGAAATATCTCGAAATAATCTAAAACATCTCGAAACACCTCGAATCATTAAAATTTTAATTTCATCATTGATTTATTTTAATTTTTTTTAAATAAAAATATTTCAACAATTTTAATCGTTATGAAATGAAATTTTAATCATAGAGGGTAGTTTGAGCATGTCCCATACTTGCCATCAATAACTCTTAACAAGACTGGTCAAACCAACAACAACATGGACATCAAACTATTGGTTAAGAATTTATTTTTTAACGGATCGACAAGAATTCAACTATACACAAGAAGAACCCAATTATACGAGACCGGATACCAACATGGCATAATCCCAAATATACCCCTTAGCCATGTTGGTATAATGACACAGTACAAAGGAAACAGACCCAACCCCAACATGAAAGAGAGTTTGGGTAAAAAGAAGATTCATTTGTTCTCTATTAGAAGCGCATAGAGCCATCTACTTGATGAATCAGATCTGTTCTATCAAATTTCTCATATTAGCAAAAAATAGAAAACGAAGTGTACATGTATATGAATCAACTATTCTAAGCTGGGAACAAAAACAAAACCCTTAGCATGCCTGTTTCATTTGCCTGCCATGGTACAATGGAAGCCAGGGAGTAAAATTAGCTTCAATTGAACACTAAGCTTCATCATCGGTCATTCAAGCACTCTGTCGACAGTCCAGCATTTCTGAAAGTCTGACAAGCTGCGACCCAACTCCATATGAATCACCAAGGAAAAATGTTAATTTATATATCTGACTACGGTCCTTGATTCTTCAGTTTCTTTGAAGTAATCAGGGCAAATTCCAGGCTAAAGCAGCTTCTCTTGAAACACTGTCTAGCATGTTTTGTTTGTGTTTAGACTGTGCTAGTCGCAAGTTCTGTACTTGTTCTACTTGTTTCAGTATCAGCATTGCCATATTGGCCTCTCTTGGCATCACCCATGGATGTTCTAGTTTCCGGAAGAGGAATGTGGGAATTGTTTAAAGTACAAATATGATCTTTTTTGGACCCATCTGAAGATGATTCCGTGCCAGATAGAATTTTCTTTAGCTGAGACCGCTGACAGACAATCCGTCCCTTGTTCCACCCAGGAAAACAAAAGGATGATGAAACACTATCCTTCAAAAAAGAATAAGCAGCCTTGGCAACAGGAAAATCTCGTGTTATTGACCTCTTCTCCATCTGCCCCCGCCTGCTTAAAAGAAAGAATCCATTGTTACAAGAAAATAGATAGTATGGAATGGGGGGCTAATACACACATGCATACATATATATACAGATAGAGAGAGAAAGAGAGAGAGGGGTTGAAGTCCCAGTCCAGACACTGCCTTTCAAAATACTCATTTGTTTATTTGATATGAGACCCAATTTCAGTTCAGGTTAAGTAGACAATTCCTGTATAACATTACCATCACCCAGTTGGCTATGGACATCTTGAATTGGCAGGAGACAAATATATATAGAAAATTCTTGGCTCGCCTTTGGCTGTCCAAAAGTTGGAATCCGTCTATAAATATGACAGCACCCAGAACACATTGTAGACAAAACCCAACCCAAGCGCAATTCAACCAAATACCACACCTAAAAAAACATTTGCTCAAACTAGGTTCATCGACACTAAACCCAAACTTAGTTCGGGCAATGCCATGACATTGAAGAAAGTAGTATAGAGTTAATTTCCATGGTGTGATCATGCAAACATATACAACCAAATTAGGTGTGCTTATCAAAACAAACTACTTAACATTTGTTGTACTATTCCGGGCCCTCCTGCTTGGTGACTGTCAAGACCACCAGCCCCATAGGCATTCAAAATGACGAGTACGAGTAAACACAAAGAAAAAAGAGCTTACACTACAACAACAGTTGCCATTTGAGGAAGATCATCCCCATTTATCAACATCTCCTGCATATTGTTGAGCCAAACTGATATTGCTGTGCATGCACCACCAGGCCACATTCTGCAAATCAAACATCACATAGGAGGAATGAACACACAATAGCAAACATTTCCTTCCTTTTTTATGTCTTTATCCTTCCTATCCTTTCAGGAAAGGACGAAACTTAAAGTGGATAGTGCCAGTGATACCTGTGTACATCCACAGACCAAACGAGTTTACTGATACGAAATAGTTCAGGAAAAATCCCCCGCTTTGTTGCTTCAATGAGCACTCTTGCAGCCCGTTCCTTTTGGCCCAGCCACCAAAGTGCATCTAAAAGTGTGTTGTAGAACCTCATCCCCAAACCACAACCTTCAGAGTTCAGTTTGTCAAAGACGTACTCTACCATCTGCCAATTAGAAATATCATCATAATCTCCCTTGATCATCTGCCCAATCACCTGATGAATGTGGGATACCCTATTTGTAAACATCTCATCCAGCAAGCCATTGGCCTCATCCCACCTGAAAATAAGGACTTTAAAATGTGAGACATTGAGCAGAAAGAAAATCAAGAATGGTTCAGCATGCTTTCACATCCAGAAAATTTGATGAATTCAATGACTACTAGAGCACCTGAATCAACAGATACGGAACATTTTGGCACCTGTAATTGTAAAGCTCTAATTCACTTTTTGTGCAGAAAAATTCAATGAGTTCCACAAAGGCATAAATAATTCCAGTAATTATTGATTCAAGTTTGAACCTTTTACAATAGTCTGCAATTACAGGAATTCTCCAACATCATTGTGCAAGAGATTACAGATACAGAGCAGAAAAGAACAAGTGCCAAAATTTGCACCAGCTTCATCCGGGTGCCAATGCTCTAGTAGAGAATGGCCATGTTCTAACAATATATCAGAAGTACTATTAGCCGTACTTATAGTAAGACATAAAGAGGGCAGCCAACACAACAACTCTATTTCACTCCAAATTTTACTGCATCTACCCAAATTGTATTTAGCAGACATTACTATGTTATTTCTAGAATCTTAAGAGGTCAGTAGAACAAGAATAAATCACCCATACAATGGATAGTCCCATTTCCACAAAAATTCCTGTAAAATTTTATCCAAAAAATTGGTAATCAGGAGATTAGTACAGGCATGCCAAGATGCAGAGTTAGGATGCCAAAAGTCTCGGATTTTATTTGCTTTCACATATCAACAAAGTTTGTGATTTCATTCTGACTCTTAGATTAAAATGCTGAGAATCAAATATTTCTTCATCATAGAAATTGAAAAACGGAGAAAGAAAAAGAAAAAATAACGAAAATAGTCTAAGTGTGGTATCTATTATTGAGCCTCGAAAAACATAGATCTGCACAAACCGACAATTATTTTTCCACACTAGGGCAATTACCGGAATGGCTATGCTTTATTACACATCAGTTTTCAGTTTTCAGACAGCTCCAATTCAAGTTTACAACCTTTGAACCCAAGGGACAGACTACAGAAAAGGTGGCCAAGGGTCCCCTCAAAAAGTTAGCAGCCTTGATTGCGTCAGTCGATGCTCTAAGCGGTCCGTATACTTGCTTGTTAGCCACAAACTCAACAGAATCTAATAGTTATGTTCTTACAACCCAACTTAGCCAAAGCTTAAATCCAAGCTATTTGGGGTTAGATAATTGCCTACATGAGCTAAAATCCATGTCTGAAGCATGCACACTTCCACTTCTCTCTTCACTGCTCCTTTATCAATATAATTATTTAACAATCCTGCAAATATTCTTGTAACCCCACGAGCCTAACATTAAAAAAAATCAAGTGTGGAACTGGGGCTGGCTGTGGGTCAGTTCAGACCAGGAAATGCAGAGGCCACGACTTCTTGGCTCAATCCAGCCCCATGGGCCAGTATTTTGTTATTCAAGTGTAACACCTATTTTTAATTTTCGTACTTTAAAATCATAAATAATATATAAAAAAAAAAACAACATAAGTATATGTATAACAGGTACTATTCCGAACCGTGCCGGGCAAACCTAAACCTCTGGTTCAGACCCTAAGTTTTCACAGCGTACCACCCACCCATGGCCATCCCCATGTGAAACCTTTGAAGCTAAAAATCTTCACAAGGCCATATGTGGAGCAATATAAAAAGATGAGATGCTACCTTCAAGAGGAAATAACTAACACACATACCTTTAAGGTTTCTATAATATAATATAAATAAATGTTGTATACAACTTTTGTAGGGCAATGGCATCGAGCAATAAAAAATCTTAAAAGCCACAAGAAAAAGTCTGACATTGTAATTCTGAATTTATACACAAATATGAAGATATGAGAATGAGAATAATCCCATTCCATTACAAACAATTGTCCTATACACATCAAGCCATCAACTATAAGAGAATGTGCAACTTATAGATACTCTACAATCCATACACTTCCCATGTGTGGCCAACTATCTTATATGAATGGGCCAACCAATTCTACTCAACTTAATAAAGCCTTAATTCCAATTATTTAAGTTGACTATGTTGAAATATAATACTTAAATTATACTATCTCCAACAGCTTAAACTTTTTGAGTAGATGATTATTTAACATGGTATCAAAGTAGGAACATCTGTGTTCGAATCTCACTACCATTCTAATTATAAAATAGATTTTCACGTGATAGGCTTAAAATCTAGTATGCACGTGAGGGGGCGTGTTGAAATATAAATACTTAAGTTACACCCTTTTCGACAGCTTAAACTTTTAGAGTAAGTGGTTGTTTAACAGACTACATAAATCTTGTCCCTCCTTTGTGCTTTATCAAGGACCATATTATCTGTTAGACCGTGAAAGTGAGGTATAATATCATATTTTACTTCTTCGTTTAACGTTATTTAAACATGCATTTACTTTTTGCATTAGCATCGATATGTATTAAATCATTAGTTCTTAGTGATGCATTATTAAGTCTTCTATAAACATGTTCACATTATCTAAGTCGATATTCTCTCAATTTATTTTCTATTGGTACTACTTATACTTTTTCACAAATGTACTTATTCATAATTCTATTATTTCCCATTTTACCACATATCTATTTTAATATCTTCATTTCTACAAACTATATATGTGTCTTCCCTTGCTTATTTTCTAAACATCCGGGACTGTTGAGTGTTTACACATACATTATGTGATTCAAGTTAATATTCAATCTAACAAAGTTTTACGTTATCTATCAGTTACATAATGCAGCACTCCTTTATTAGGGCTTGGGACTAGTTGTGTAAAAGATAACCACTAAAACTTGACAATGGGCAAACCAACTGTATCCATAATAATAAGGGAAGCAATTAGACTTGAACTCAAAACATCACCTACTTGATATTTTTGTTAACTAGCAAGTTCTCTAATAGTTCAATTGAATAGAGGGTGAAACTTAGTATTCATAAACTCAACATTATTATCAGAAATCAAAAGCAAACAAATATATGTGATGGAATCACAAGATCATGATAAGGTAGAGCAGTCATCTTGATCCCTATTTGACATTGTTTGGAAGAATAAGGCTAACAGTAGAAAGTCTTGGACAGAAACTTCGCGACCAAAGAGCTACAATCCAAAAACCTTTCACTTGCATTAGAAAGTGTTTGTCTCCAATGCCAATTGTTGTTGGTTCTAAAGAAGTCGGGGGTGGAGAAGTCCAAGTCGATGCCAAATCTTATTGAGTGCTGGCAATCATGGCAAAGGACTAGCCAACAATGACACGACTCAAGTTGTACCCAACTCGGAACCTTTTGCTCCATGTTTCACGTAAATACAAGTCTCATGCGACATGGATAAGGCATTCAAAACGTCTTGAAGCCAATCCCTAGTTCCCTCAGCCATCATCATCAAATCAGCAAATACCATTTCGCCAACTCCACGCCAGCACGAATCACTTGTAATGTTCTACTCCTTCTTTTACCTAACATTTCATTCGTATTGCCCAAAAACCACTCTGTGATTCCATGACCAATGCATTTCAGTGTCTTCCAAATTGATGGCCCATATTACCCTTGAATCATGCTGGCAATCCTATAGGCTATTGACTTCTTCCTGTTCCCTGTTTGGGCAAGCCTTTTTATTCCTTTACTAAACCAAACCAGATTATTCCCTTAAGTCTACCTACCACCTTTTCACACTTTCCAAGATGCAACATCTATTGAGAGTGGTTTGGAGGTAAGAAAGATTTCCAACATAAGTAATAGATGAACCAACATAATGGAGATTGGAGAAGCTAGTAAAAGAGCAGGTCCAGAGGTGGTCTTAGCTACTAGATCTTTAGGAAAAAGAAGTTGGCTAAATAGACAGAATGGCAAGGAAAGAATTGGTCTGGGCTACATGTGCTGGCAGTTTACAAGCTCGCCCCTACCTTCCATTTTTCTTTCCAAAAACAGTGGTTTACCCATACATTGCTATTAAGTAAGAAAACAGATCTCAAATTAAAGGTTGAAAGCTGAAACTTAGTATAAATGGTGCCAAACAGAGTGGCATATAGCTGCCAATGGATAACTCACATCGGTCCAACCTGAGGCTCAATTAGAATAAATAAATGAACATATTCATCTAAGAAATATTGAAACTTCCAAGCGGAATATAATACACCAAAGAGAAAATAAACTAATCAAATGTAACATGGGTCGTAATGAGGTGCTCATGCAAGAGTGGCCTTTTCTAGGCATAGTAAAAAAAGGGTTGGGAGAAAGGAGTGATTCAAAATTTTCAAATCCATAAAGTGAGAAGGAGCCTAGAATCGTGGATTATGATGCCACCATGTATGAGTTTGGTCCTCAGTGGACTTAAACATCAAAACTAAACCATGAAAATTCTCCTCTCAAGTTAGCTTTTGTCCCTAGAGTCTAATTGATGGTATCATGTCAAAAGAACATCACCCACTACATATTCAGGTGGACGTAGTTGGAGCAAATGACAATTAACAATATGGAAATGCACTAAAAAATAATCTAAGTTGCAATGCAACCATGTTAAATCAATGTAAAGACTGTTCTCAAGTCTAGCAAATGACAATTAAGAAAACCATCAGCATCTAATCAACTCTTGCAGATTAAAATGTACAAGGAATCATTAATAACTGTATGAATCACTGACCTGTCACTCTTTGCATAAATGGACAGCATCATACAGTAGCACATGACACTGGGTAATATTCCCAATGCTTTAATTTCCTGAAATTGCTCCATACTCTCATCAACAAGACCTGCAAAGCAGTAAACACTCAAAACCGCCTCAAGGGTCTGCTCATTGGGATCACACCTCACCTTTTCCATCTCAACATAGGCCTTTATAGCTTCTTCAAATTGGCCTCCCTGTCTAAATCCTTCAATGAGACCATTAATAGAATCCCTGTTCCGTGGAACCCCAACCTCACTCATTCTGGACAAGATTGCTTCAGTCTCCTTGTAAAGTCCCCCTCTTGAGAATGTGTAAATCAAAGAGTTGAAGGTCTCAACAGTTGGTTTGCTCCCAACTTCATTCATAGTATTAAAAGCAACAAGAGCCTCCTCATACAATGCAGCCTGTCCATATGCGGCAATTACCCCTGTAAAAGCCTTCGAACTCGGGACTAGTCCCTTCTCATTCATATGAAGTAAAATTTTCTTTGCATCCTCATGAAGCCCCCCCTTTCCACAAGCAAATATCAACCCCTCGTAAGTCTCCATATTTGGCTCAACATTTTCCTCCACCATATCGTGAAATAAAGTCACCACCTCCTTAAAATACCCACCTTCACCAAACACCTCAATAAGAATATTGTAAGTACTAGCATCCGGATCCGTGTTACTCACTTTCATCTCAAGAAAAAGCTCCCTAACATCATCATACCTACCATGCTTCCCATACAAATTCAACAAAATAGTATAAGTCGCCGCATTGGGCACACACCCTGCAGCCTGCATTTGCCTAAACACCCCCATTGCCTCCTTAATTTTCCCTGAATGTGCATACGCCTCTAATAGCACATTATAGGACGTTATCTCTGGTAAGTTCCCTCCATCTTCCATTTCCCTCAAAAGCTCTGAAACCTTTTCTAATTTCCCCAATCTCCCAAATGTATCAACTAAATAACTGTACGTCGTTATATCCGGTACAATCCCACCCTCATTCATTGTCCTAAACACCATTTCTGCCTCATCCCCTAAACTCCGATGGGCACAAGCACTAAGCAATGTATTATAAGTAACAATATCGGGTTGAATACCCTCATGCCGCATTTCGGCAAACAAACTTAACAACCCTCCCATTCATACCCGCCCTAGCACAAGCATTAATCACTGTATTATAAGTCAAAATGCTCGGCTGAACTTTTTCCTTTTTCATTCTCTCCAAAAGTTCTAATGCGGTCTCAAACTGGCCATTTCGACCATATGCATTAATAATTGAAGTGAACGAAAATACACTACGCGGAACACCGTGGCTGGGCATTTCGTCGAATATCTCATAGGCTTTATCTAAAAGTCCTTCGCGGCCAAGCACGCCAATCATGATTGTGTAGATGTGTTCGTTGGGCTTACACCAGATCTGTCGCTGCATGTACTTGAAGAGGCGGAGCGAGCGCTGCCAGTCGCCGCGGTGAGCGAACTCTTTGAACACTAAGGCAAAATCATTGAGGGAAAGCTTGTTCTTGAAGGTGTCAAGGCAGCGAGCAATGCTGCCTCGTGGTGGGAGGCTAGAGAGCTTGTTGATTAGGGTTTCGACGTCGTAGCTGTACTTGCCTTTCTCGACGGTGACCGATGGGTTTCCGAGGACTAGTTCTTTTCCTCTTGCTCTGAGAATGAAGGAACCCAGAAGTCTCCGGCCTCCGGTGGCTGAGAGGTTGCTGGGTATAGTGGCGGGAAATGGGAAATGGTGGAGGGTGGTGGTGGTGCGGATGAGAATTGGGGAGGAGAGAGACTGGCAAGAGAGGGTCATTTTGGTGGTGTGTCGGTGAGCATGAGGCGTTGGGGCTGTGGTCTAATGTCGGGATTTGTGTGAGGTCGAAGATGAAGAAGATGGACTGAGGGAGACTGAGTTCCGGGAATGAATGGGGGCGAGCTTGGGGTTGACGAAGGACACGTGGAGTGAAAGTTTTGGATAACAGGAGTTTGACACTTAACAGTAATGAAGACTGGTATTCAGTTATAAACAGGATTAACCGATACTAATTGCCGGTATCGTCTCTTATGTTCCGTATGTTTGGTATGTTTGGTTGGATACATAAAAAATAAAAATGTCTAAATTTTTTTTTATTTTTTATTTTTTCTGCTGGCTAAAATTAGGGATGACAATATAATCGTATCGTATCAGATTCATATTGAGTTATTACATATTTGTGTCGAACATTAGTCAAATCTAACTCAACTCATTTAACTAATTATAATGTGTCAAGTTGCAAGTTGATTCGTTTATTTTCGTGCCGTATTAGTATTTGTATTCATACTGACCCATATAAAACTTTGAATAAAATATTTAACGCTAATATTTTATTTTCACTTAATTGAATCTATGTTAATATTTTTTCTAAAAACTAAAAATTAACTTAAATAAATATAATAATAATAAATAAAAATATATTTTTTATATAATAATTATGTCGGTGTTTAATATATAGTTACAAATAATTGATATTTTATGTCCAATAATACTAGTTAAACATGTTAGTTTCCTGTTAATTTTGTATTATCATATAAATAAGAAAATATAGAAAGTGTTTATTTTTAAATAAACGGATTGATGGTATCAATTTTGAGTCTGATTGAACTGAATATGAGTTTTTTATATTTATTTATTTACATGTCAGATAATTTTTAAATTCGTGTCATAAAATTTGTGTCGAGTTCGAGTTGTGTTATTGTGTTAAGTCAAAAAATTTTACTCCTAGTTAAGATGGAATTTTTTTTTTTTTAATTTAAATTTTTTATTTTTTATTTTTAAATTTTTTTAAAAAATACATATTTTATCATTGTATTTTTATATGAAATTAATGTATACATAATATATGTATATATTAAAAGATATGTAGACAAATAAGATACATCTCAACATAAATAATTAATTTTTCATCCACTTTCAATTTTAGAAGGATTGATTTTGGTGAATTAAAAGAAAAATTAATTCATTCACTTATTTTTCCTATTTTTCTTCTTTACCAAATATAATATTTTATTTCTCCCTCTAACTTTCCATTCTTCCAACTTTTCATCTGTCCATTTTTCATCATACCAAACAGAGTATTAACGAATAAATATTTATTACAACGGTGTCACATAAAATACATCGTATAGGATAAGTGAACTTCATTATTTTAATATATTAGTTAATCAGCAGAGTAATTGGATTCACTTATATTACACGATATATTCTTATTAGTTGATGATATTATGTGGTACCGATGACATAATATCACCATTATAATGAATGTTTTCTCCTCGATTACAATATGTGGATCTTAGCCACCCATCCCCCCTTCTTTTTGGCACATCATTGGTTAGTACTTTTTATTTTTTATTCTGAAAATAATAAAAAATTTCATTAATCATAAATATCTAAAAAGAAAGAATTGCACTATGAAATCAAATCATTTATTCCCATGTATCATCAGACTCATTAAGACAACTTGCATACCTAGCTAACTGGTGTGCCACATTTATTACTAGTGCGCCTTATCCGTCAGGGAACCTCAATCCACCAATACACAGTAATTCATAACATCTCTAAAAGCCCTCAATTTTCGGTTTGATTTATCCTTCCCATCTTTCTTCTCGGTATTAGTAAGAAATTCGCTCAAATCACTAGAACAAATCCAAGGTAGTTCGTTATGTAATCGTAGCCGGCATAGCAATAATCATGTCTCTAATCGCGCTAAAAACCTCTAATTCTTCATAAAAACCTATTAAATGCCATTTCCTTTGCCCATTATTCTCATCCACATTGACGCCAATATGAGCCCGTGAAAAGCTCTACAAAGAGACAAAGATGTCTTTCTACCATAGCAAAGCCAAACCCCTCGACTACTCAATCGCCTCCACAAATATCTCATTAATTATCAATTGCATTTTCAACCTCTTAATACCATCTATTTTACATTTTGTTTCCATCAAGACAACAAAATTAGGCCTTCCCTTCTTCACAAATTCGTAAAGAAAATGAACTATCCAAAGTTGCTCAATACCTCGGTAGTTCCAACTTAATAGATTCATGGTGAGCGGCAAGTCTAGATACTAGAAAATTGACGTCGTCTCAAACTCCATCAAAAGAGTTTACCTTTCCAATTTGTTGTCATTTCTAGGAATCCACGAACACCTCCACCTCCCAAGAATTTGTCGAAGATTCCCCCCCTCTATTGTATCAATCACTAGCTTCGCATAATCATTCTTTGACCTAACCTGCCTCTTCCAAGTTCTCAGGGTTCTTTTACTATTTTGCTCCACTAGATTGATCCCTTTCCCTTTGCATTTATATTCATATTCATAAACTTGTTTTTTGTTGGGTTAGGCCCCATTTGTAGCAATGCCACTATCTGTAGTTTCAAAGGTAGATTGGGTTTCCTTTGTAGTTGGATCTAGGGTGGCTATGACCACATATGGGTAGGGTTTATTCACCCTCAAAGAGTTAAGTAGTTGGGCCCTCTGCAGGCTTTCTCCAAAAGTTTTATCGTTTCTCACTCTAATTTGAGTTTTTGTAATTGAAAGTTCCTCTATTGCATAATCCAAACTTATACTACTCCCCAAATTTCTGCCTTTTATCACTACTCTGTTTTTCATATTCAGATTACTGAGATCCCCTACATCTATGAGATTGCTCCCATCTAGGTCCGTAGTTTCTTGCTAGGGGTGTCCATGGGTAGGATTGACCCACGAGTCTCGTTACTCGGTCTGAAAAAATAGTCCCAAAGTCCGATAGTTGACCCGCCCGAGTTCAAGCCCAATATCATTCAAGAGAAGGCTTAGACTTATTCTCAAACCCATTATCTAGCCCAAAACTTAGTCCAAGACTCTACTACTTATTTAAATAAAATTATTAATTATTTATTTTTTGTCCATTTGACTCTATTTTTAATTAAAAAATATTAAATTATAAAATTTTTAAATGAAATTGTATATATATATAAAAAAGCCCACCCAACAGTCCTGCCTAGTGAGTGGCAAGTTGGGCTACAGGTAGTCTACTCCTACCCAAATCCCAGCCCAGCCCCGTCTTTAACTTACTGGAGTAAGGGTTTGGGCCTACCCTACTCAACCTAGCTCAAAAAAAATTTGCGGGCCTAGCCCAGCCCAGCCTTTGGACACCTTTATTTGTGGCTCAATACCCATCCCCTTCTAAGGAAAAAATATTGGGTGTAACCGTCCAATAATAAGATACCATGTGGACAAGTGGATCCCACATAATTTAATAACTACCCTGTCAAGTCATTTATATCCACTCAAGTGAAGTTCAGCTTATCTATTTGTAGGTTTATTATTAAATGATGAAACCACATATCAATAATGGCATGGTGTTACTATTACACCCAATATTTTCTCCCTTCTAAGACCCCAGTCGGACCATCATCCGAACCTCGCTTTCCACTCCAGCCACCGAACCATCATTATTACTAGTATGGTTAGCTTCAGTAGACGATTTAAACGCCATAAATCACTTTATAATTTATTAAACAAAATTGCAAATTTAATTCGTCATAGTTGTTGGATTACCCATGAAATCTATTCAAAATTGGGACATGTTGAGAATCCAACTATAAGTTTCTTATTGTGAATGTTTTTTTTGTTTTTAGTTAGGGGCAGAACTAGGATTTCACAAACATACTAAAATATTTTAGGGTTCAACACTAAATTACTATTAAAATAGTAAAACCAATTTTCATTTAACTTAAATAAAATATGAACAAAAAACTGTAAAATAACCTATATTATTACATTTCAACTCAATCACATATTAAAGTAGAATATGATATTATTTCAAATCTCAAAATTTGTCTATAACCTATTGATGATAAACTAAATTTTTAGTAATTCTCTTCAATAGACAATACTACATTATTCGTGATAAAAAAAAATTGTTATTCTTTGTTGTGATATTTAGTTGAAATCATCATTTATTTCGTTGATTTACTCAATCCAAAAAACAAAAAAAATAATAATTATATTTTTTTTTGTGGGGGGGGGGGGACCACTATCTTGCAAAAAATAAAAAAGTTAGGACCATTGTAAATATTTTCAAAAATCAAGGAGACAAATGTATTAAAATAACCAAGCTATTATCCCTTAACAATACATAATTAGAGGGATTCAGAAACTCAAGGGGGGCAAGTGCCCAATTTCCTCTCTATGTGACTTCACATTTGTTTTTAGTCCAATTATATGTTATTTTTGGGCTGAGTTGGGTGGATGAAATACTCCAGATTTAAAAATCGTGGAACGTCAATTAATTTGTCTCTCTTTCTCACTCTCTAAAACTAGATTTTTTTATCAATCTTTATTTCTAAAACTGTTTATCTTAACTTTGGATATTTACCTTCTAGTTAATCATCTCTTTCTCTCTCTCCCCCTCCCCCCAAGTGAAAACATACATGCTTATAAATGATTAGATTTTCATTTTCATTTCATTTACAATATCTACTGTTTTTTGGCAATTTTACTTCTCATATAATTCTCATTTGAAAGATTCACATTTTGTCATCAACTGATTTACTAGAATCTCACAACACCACACACCAAAACATCTAGTCCCCCAACAAGAAAATCAATAATTAAGTATATACAATTTTCAAGACTACAAGTATTGTCATTGTGCTCAATCTACAATTGTTTAGGGAGTGGCAAAGTTCCTGAAAAAGAGCTTCAAGATCATTGATTTAAGCCTTATTTAAGATCACCTTCAAGGATTTTTTTCTAAATGTGTCTTTGTGCACTTGGATGAAGGCTGCACTGGTG